ATGTGTTTCTGTGTGACGAAGTATCTGAGGTCTATTTTTGTATGAGCTACATTAATAAATGAATAGAGTACAAGCAAGAACTAATCGGCTTGTATTTTTGTTTTCTAAATGGAGGTAGCTTATGGATCAAAGATTGATTGGTTATTATTTGCAATCACTGATTCATTGGATCAAGAGGCCATTTGGTTTCACATCCAATACATGGGGAATAAATTAATCATCGAACTAAATAATACATCTACTTCCATAATAATAAATGGCTTAATTGCTCAAGCCCCCACAAAAATTCAAAAATCTACAAATCAAGATCGAAGAAAGGCAGAGTGAATTCATCGTTCTCATTGTAGTTGATTCGGAACCACGCCATCCAATGTTTCAAGCATTGGTCATCATAATCCTGAAGACCTCAACCAATCAGTCAGTGTCTACCACACAATCTAATTGCCAATGATATAGGTTTTATTTTGGTCTCCGCCAACTGTCTTACAACCTACGCGCTTACACTAGCGAACACCGTTGATCGAGTAAGACGGTTATTGGACATATGTAATACGTAACCCAACTACCTTAATTTCTATAGATCAACGATATTATTAGCTTATTTGTCATCCCAATGTACTAATTTAAGCACTGCATTGAACATGCATATAATGCTTTCTAGGTATCCATGATCAACTAATCGTAGTCACCAACAAACGATACATACAACAGTGATATAATAGAAAAGACAATTATGAAAAAGGAGAAATTAGCCAGATAAGAAGAGAGCAAAAATAAATTTTTAACTAGAGAACTCGGGGGGCTACAAAAACGCGTTAAAAATAAAAACGTAACATGATATAAAACTAAACACAACCAAAAAAACAAATTATCCACTGACCAATTTGATTACGATGTAAACATGCAACAGCTGAAATAAATTGATAAATAATTTGTACTGGAGTTAAACCCAATTCATTGAGCAAAGATGATGTCTTCATGGAATCGGTTGAATTGATGACATCATCAGCATCATTATTATTATTCGGTTTTGATGCAACATTGGATGCATTCCGACATGATAATGCTTCATTTAAACTTAATGAACATCGTTGCATTACTAAGTAGTGAAAGTTTGCTGTACTACCCTGGAAAAATAAAAGCAGAAAGAAATAGCTTGAATAAATACTATACTACATGCTGACTGTTTATCTAGTGTTTGTTGAAGAGTAGTTGAAGAGGCTGGAAACAATAAATACATTTTCAGTTCTAATGTCAGAATTCTCATTAGAATGGTCACTTACTCGTTTTTAAATTCAGAGCTGCTAATTTTAGATTATGAGATACTGTTTTGCGGTGTAGGAGTAGGCTGGGAGAAAGCTGAGGGTGGCAAAAGCAAAACATCGTACAAATTCATGAAGTCACAGTCAAGTGGACTGAGTCATCTTGGTAGATGCAGACTACCTGGTTGGGGTTCGTGAGATGATAGTAGTCGTTGGTTAGAGACTTTGAATGACATGGCTGCAAACCGTTTGCAATGGCGCAGGTGCATTTTATTCATTGTGTTCTCTCAAATTCTAATCTTCTGAATTCCTCATCACCTTTATCTTTGTCTCTCTAAATTCACTTCACTGAATTATACTTCTTGAATAACATCTTCGAACCCCAATCTTCTCCATTACCAGTAATATTTCTACTATCTCTACCACTATGGGATTTGAACTGACAGCTGCGTCTCTGTGCTGATGCGGTATAGGAACATGTACTTATGTACGTACCGTACGAAGTTCTACGTTGTAACGGACAACGACGACAGAACACAAACGCAATATTCTAGCTACCAAAGTCTTCTTGATATTTGAGACTATATAACTACAACGCAACACAGCACTAACTTTATTTTCACCTATATGATCAGCTGGCATTCATTTACGCGAACAAACAAACCACTGTGGATAAGCTTGCATAACTCAACTGTAGCATATGACTTGATTGCCTGTGTCTGAGAATAATTCAACCCTAAGTTTATATTTTCTATCCAATTAAATATTGAGAAGCTGGATTTCCGAAGTTGAATGTGACAAGGACTGGCCTGTGGAAACTGAGTGTAGTGAAATAGTGACTTCATTAGCGGAAGAACGGATGACATTGTTTGTAGGTAGTAATTACTTCATCTAACCAGTATTCTCTAGCTTTACAATTAATAACAGTGAGTGATGAAATCTATCCTTATAAATTAAACTAACCCAATGAAATCATCTAATGAAAAGAATATAAGACAATTTGTTACAATAGATTTCGATAGGAAGCTAAGTACGCAATTTAAACTTGACCAAGTATAAATCATACATTGACACATACAAATAGTTGATACACACATTTGTATGGTAATACATTTGAAATTATGTATTGAGAAGGTTATATTTAACAAGGATAAAACAATTTCTGAATTAATAAAGTGAATGTATAATATTTTCATACACTTTACATTTATCAAGTATGAATGCTGTTACGGGTATGAGGGCGGTTGCCACTTCCCGGCTGTCCATACAGTGAAAGGGTGTTTGTTGAAGAACCTGAAAAGGAAGAATAGATTAGTGTTGGTCTTAAAGACCTGGGTGCGTGACTGCAGAGCCCAAGGGACAACCGGTTGAGGCCGGTCACGCACGGTCTTACCGCCGGAGACGGAAATCCGTGAGGTAAGGTGAAGTGTGACATTCTTAGGGTCGACTTTTTCTAACCCTTCCTTCCTTGTGAGAAGGCAGCATTGCTGCAGATGCTTGTTGTGCGAGGGAAACACCTTGCTGCTGTCACAGCCCCGTGCAATCATCAGTACTACTTCACCCTCAAACCTTGAGTAGCTGCTTTTAGTTTCATCGTTCACCGATCGACCTGCCTGGCATGGTAGAACCTTCAGGAACATATGTTCCAGCCAATATAGCTCGGTTGGGTCATTATGATAGGCAACCCCGACCACCACGTCAAGGTATCAGCTACGGTTAGATTTGAACTGACAGTTGCGCCTCTGTGCTAATGCGGTATCGCAATCTGAACTGATGTACGCACATACGAAATTCCACGTTGTAACTGACTGACTGACTAACTGACATGTATAAGTGCATATGTTCAAGATTTAGTGTAAGAACTTGAGATCTAAAGTAACTGACAGTTGAACACTCTAATCATCACCAAATCATTATGCTTCAGTGAATATCTGAATTTCAACAATAGAAATTATAACAGAACAATACAATGTGTTATCTCTACATGATAATAGTGCATTTTATTCAAAACAAAACAAAAACTCACACAAAATAACTAAAAAAAAAACCAAACTTACAGTCCAATAACAACGAACTAAATGTGGATGTTGATGTTTTAACAGTATGGCATGTTCACGACGCCAATGTTTCTCTAACAAAGGATGTCTTACAATACGTTTGACTGCAGTTTCATGTGGTCCATAAGTTCCGCTTTATTAGAAAAAATAATTTCATTTATTCAATTTAAGCTTTTATTTTTTTAAAAAAAAATTAGCATTCCAGTAAAGCTAGTAAAAACATTATAACATACAAGACGGTGTGGCGTCATTCAATTCAAATTAACCAAACTGTAGTAAAAGCAGTGAATAAACTCAGTCAGTCAGTCAGTCAGTCAGTCAGTTCCAACGTAGAAACTTCAAGTTGTCATACCACATTGGCACAGAGAAAAGCAATTATCAATTCAAATCCCATAATAGAATGATATGAATTCGTATCAATGCAAATCAAAGGAACGATGACTCAGTGGCCAACATGTTCAACTTTCCGCCAAAAGGACTCAAACCCCGCTCTACCTACTTCAATTTGAGCAGCTGAGTAGTAAAGTACTACTATCCCTCACATTTAGAGTAACAACTGATGCCAAGTATATGAATGTCAGTCAGTCAGATGCAACGTAGAACTTCGTACGTAAGTACATCAGTTCATGTCGCCATACCACATCAGCACATAGATATAATTGTCAATTCAAATCCAATAGTAGAAGAGGTAGTAAAGGTATTAAAAGTAATCGGAGAGGTTAGGATTAGATGATATTATTCAAGAAGTATGATTCAGTGAGAAAAGTTTAGAAAGTCAAAACTAGAGGGGTTGAAGAATCCAGATAATTAGAATTTGACAGAACTCAGAAAATAAATGCACCGGCGCCATTGCGAACGATTTTGAGCCATGTCATTCAAGGTCTCTAACCATCGATTATTATCATCTCGCGGACCCCAACTAGGTAGTCGATAATTACTGACATGGCTCAGTCCACTTGTCAATGATTTCATGGATTTTTGCCATGTTTTGGTTTGGCCGCCCCTAACTTTCTTCCAACCTATTCCTACACTACAAAACAAAGCTCGTCGAGGCAGTCGGTGGTTAGGCATACGCAACACATGTCCTAACCACCTCAACTGATGAAGTTTCAGCACTTCATCTATTGATCTGCCACCCTTACCTAGCACACGTTTCCTAATAACAGCGTTGCTCACTCGGGTGTCCTAGGATATACGAGCAATGCTTCAAAGACACCTATGATCGAAAACCAATAACCGACGAATATCTTCTACTCTCACTGGCCATGTTTCACAGCCATTAAGTAAGTATATGAATGTATACCTGATAAATGGTTCATATTTGCGTTATCAAACTTAAGTTCCTTAATCGAACAAAAAACAACGTACAAAATTGTTACAATCGACTGTAAACTAAAAATCATCAATAACAATCTTTTGATGAGAACAATCAAGCGCGAATAACATTCACAATTCAGCAGACACCTACATTAATTTACATAATATCAAACAGAAACAATGATATCGTGTAAAGCTAAATCTTTCACTTTGTAAGTCCACAATAATTTAACAGTATTTATATGTTTAATAGTAATATTGATAAACCATAAAGTTTCATTTCATTAAAAAAACAATTCATTTATATAAATTATGAATGTGACGATAAAAACGCTTCCATATTTCACGACCATTTTACTCAAAACAGTATTTGTCAAAAAACCACAAAGATAGGCTTATTTTAACGTGGAGACTTCGTGTGATAAAAACGTACTATACTAACCAATCAGAATGCAGCCATTATAGAGAGTTCTCTATCAAACAAAATGAAATATTCACAAAGGATCACAAATTTTGACTCATAGCCTTAACGCTCTTATAAACCCTAATAACCTTAACCTAAATTATGAACCTTAAAACCATGAAGTTAACATCTCGTCCCTAAAATTTTATTGAACAACAAGCTAATCAACCTATTCATTCATAACCCAAAATCTAGGCAAGAATATGATATTGAACAGCGAGTCATCTGTAAAAGTGTCATAAATTTGCCGGCAAATTTAACATCGTCTGCTTCGGTTTTGATTGGTCACTCAAATTCCTCAGTATGGCACACTTTTACACTCAATATTTATAGATACAGTGATTTTCGTCATGAAGGCGACGTCAAAAAAATTAACCAATCAGAAATGAGGTAACTTATTGGATTTTCGTCCTACTGTACAACACACCTCAATAGTAGTACCCGGTGATGAATACCAAGCAATCAGTGAAACATTTTAATCCAAATCTGTTTTGAAGTATAGAATTATGCAATTATCTTTGAGTCATTTCTCTGTGTAAGTATGTACATAAAAGCGAAGGTCATTGGATGTTTAGCATTTTAGTGAGATTAGATCGTTGTTCGATTTATTATTTACACTCAATCATACTTGTCTATAAGTACCAAATATAATGGCAAGTTTAAATGATCACTGGAAAATGAAAATCAAAGTACGATGTTGTGTTAACTACATGAAAATAATAAGTTTTTTATGACTATTCTTAAAAACGGGAGTAACTATGACTCTCTTAAGGTAACCAAATGCCTCGTCATCTAATTGAAGGGATATGTTAGGTGACGCGCATAAATGGAGTCTTTTGGGGTTATGGGGGCGACTGCCTCTTCGTGGTTCCCGTTTGACAACGTAGCGGTGGATACATCGCTACGGATAAAGTTGCTAATACGTTCACTGTGGCTGCTCTGATTAGTTCTTGAGGAACAGCTAACGCGTATCCATGGTCCATTACAATGGCCGAGTGGCCGAGACGGGATAGACGATATCCGTGGGATTAGGACTGAACGTCCCTATGTCCGAATCCCAGTCACACTGTGAAGGTATACTGTATCCGTAACGTGGCTGTTCACAGCTTTCGTCTCCCTTGTGTGTCTGGACACTATCCGTCTAGGCTCACTAGGTCTGGCGATTTGCCAGAGCGATGACCATAAAACGTCCACAGTTCTTGATGTACGCGGGTCGACACCAATATTTTCTTGTGGCTTCAGCGTGAGGATACCGGATCTTTTCTAGCAAATGACTGTAATATGATCAAAATCATGCAGTGGTGCGACGATCTGACTCGGGTCAATGAGCGTACTTGTGCGTCCCTGATTAGGGAAAGGCCGTATGACTCCGCCTGCCTTCACTATCCGAAGGTGGGAATCCGTCCGCCGATCCCTGGTCGGTAGATGAGTTAATAAATCCTATCTGATGGTTCACCAGTTTAGCAATGGACAGGTGGACTGGTCCCATGAGGACCTTGCTATGATAGGTGCGCTCCTAACTGCCTAGGTTGGTCTGTGAGGAAGCGTGAAGCACACCATCCCAAAAAATCAAAAGACAAAACAATCCTAAAAACAAGAAAAAACCGAAAAAATCTTAAAATAAAAAAGACAATAAAAATCAAATCCAAAACAAATCCTATGGTAAGCACGAATGCTTCCCGGGTTCATGGGCGGATCGGTACTACAGCTAATCGCTCCAACCCTCTTCCACCACCAAACGGCGTCACTCCACCGCAAGACCATCATTACAGAGAATGTCCATTCAAGTGCTAGTCTATGAGAGGATTGAGCCAGCATATGCGGCATAAGCACATTTCCGAATATAATCAGCTGAAAGTGGGAAAGGTAATGGCCCAGCAAGCACGTCGCTGGAGTCATGAAGAGGACAATTACCTTCTAGCATCGGCGGATAGCCTGTGGAGTGACGCAGGCATCAAATCACAGAGTTGCGTTTATGATACACTAAGTGGTCAGATACCTGGAAGATCGCGTGAGGCGATCAGGAGGCGCCTACTGGGCCTCAAATGGGCACCATCTGAAACCGCTAACGATAGGGGTGGATGTGCCGTTGATCTGGATGAATCTATAAGAGACGTTTCGATGACTGAAGATTGGAGGAAAAGCCTCTTGCAGGCCGTTATTTCCACTTGTGACAAGAGGCATGCGCTCTATAAACTAGCAAATGCGTTAGACCGGGATCGGGTAAGCCTTGAGCAGGCCAGAGAACGGCTAGAGCTACATGTAACGAAATCGTTCCCGTATACGAACAAGAGAGACAGACGCAGGGTCGAGCCAAGGCGACCAGTCGAAACAAATTTTAGTGCGATTAGGAAAGCAAATGCGCAGGTATTGAGGGGATTGATGCGTACCAATTCCAGAAAGGCGGCACATGCGGTGCTGTCTGGCTCATGGAAAACTCTCTATAAAGGAGACAAAGCCTACCCGTCAGGCTTTGAGGAATTTCGGTGTGATCTTATTTCGAGCGCCAGTACTGCCGATGACCGACCGGCAGCGAAACTATTGGACAGTCAGTGGGAGTTAGTGCGTCCAATTGAGACCTCAGAAGTTAACTCGTTGAAGCTTATGGGCAATACTGCCCCAGGCCTTGATGGCGTCAAGCCAAAGCAACTGTATAGGCGGCGGCCTTGCCATGTTGCTAGTCTATTGAATCTAATGCTAGTGCTGGAGGCGGTACCAGCCCAATTAAATCTTGCGCGTATAACGTTTATAGCGAAATGCGATAATCCGGAGTCCCCGGGAGACTACCGGCCGATAACTATCACATCGGTAGTAGTACGCTGCCTGCATAGTATCCTGGCAAGCAGGTGGCTCGAGCGAGTCCCTACGCTCGGTCCGCATCCCGCATTCCTTAGGCGAGATGGGTTCTCAGAATGCGCAATTGCGGTTCACTCGGTCTTACGTGAAGCGCAGATTAGATCGCGTAACCTAGTCCTGTACTCTAACTATCTTCGCATGTGATGATGCCTTCGCAACATCTACTGAGTACATGACTAGGTTACGCGATCTAATCTGCGCTTCACGTAAAACCGAGTGAACCACAATTGCGCATTCTAAGAACCCATCTCGCCTAAGGAATGCGGGATGCGGACCGAGCGTAGGGACTCGCTCGAGCCACCTGCTTGCCAGGATACTCTGCAGGCAGCGT